AAGCAACCTTTTAGAAGTAATATAAATTACCAGGCACGGCATTTTTTTTTTGTTTTTTATAGCGTGGAAAACACCTACAAGTGAGCCATCTAACCCTGTAACTGGGCTCTTCGGCAAAATGAGGGTTGTATTCGATAAAAATCAAATTATTTACCAAACGCTTACGATCATTGCTACACTGAAGTACAGGATTAATGAACAATGGATACAAATGAAAAAATATTGTTGGTTTGAGTGATGGAAATTTTGTCGCATCCGGTCACAAAAATTATGTATGATATCGTTGTTGTTGTTATAGTTGTTAAACAATTGTTCATCGTATAAATAGACACTCCAGAAAAAAAGGAGAAAAAGAACTTTCGACGCAAATCCCCAAAAACTGGAGAAAGGAAAATCAACGATCCCATAGGAAAATCGCACGTTGTTATAAACCACTTCCCAGGCACCAGGGAAAGAAAAAAGCATCCACGTACAAACACTTGCCCAGCGTTGAATAAAACTCCCCTGCATCTCTCTCGCGTTAACCCATCGTCTGGTCCAAGCAAAATTGTGTTGCACGCGTATATAAAAAAGTGAGACTTTGGTGGTGTATACATCGTCCCACAACACCGGGGATAGCTAATGATAATCCTCCGTCATTACCTCCCGAAGGGGGCGCGCACGCGGACGGGCACATAATACCCGCGCACCGAAAATTTTACGGCATAGAGAAAGGGTAATGCCGTTTCTTCGACTCCTCTCCCTGTATACCACCGTAGCTTGGTATAATCGTCCGATACGTAGGGGGGGGGGGGCATCCGGCCGAGGGGTCTTTTGTTTTTTATTTTCGGACCCGAGAGAAGAAGGGAGATGCGGTCCCGATTATTGGCAATTTATTCTAATCTCTCCGGGAGGAGAAAAACGGGTCTCCACACGTATACACGTAGTGTCCGCCGATTTTCGTCGTTGTTTCCATTATTGTCGGTGCTTGTCGCGTGCCAATTGCTGTGAAAATAAATCGTGCAAGTATATACACCTTTACGCGTTTAATTTGGTGTGCAGACAGAAACTACAGGGCATCCCTCGCTCCAAAACGCCTTTGTAATGATACACCCTTCGACGGAGCAACCAAAGAGAAAAAAAAACGTGACGATTTTCAACTCTGAAATAAATACGCGCTCTCGGGCTCGTAAACGAAAATGTCGGTGCCCGGTAACCTTCAATTTTACACCTGCAACATTATATATATATTCTCCCAAGGCGTGCACGCGCCTTTGGAGCATTGAAGTATCATTTGCGTAACTATTATCGTTAAAGCCTTGCGAGCTGGTTATCTCTCTCTCTCTGTGTGCACGCATAGGTTGTAATTAACGTGAAAAAAAAAAAATAAAACATCATGAAAAGCGATCGAGATCAAATAAAGCAGGTGGTACGTGGTACGTTGCGTGTACTTATGATCATGTGTAAGGCACAGAATTGAAATTTACGAGTTTACGTTAAATCGTACGTATGTGTATTGAAGTGTTTACATTGAACGATTGTGTGTGTACGTGTTCGAATGATCGCGAGATTTAAGAAGCCATTACCATTCCATGGTTTTTCGAATTGATCGAACGGTGCAATAATACTTTCATCGCCGCATGCCTACATTTTTTATGCTGCTTGTTTAGGTACTCGTTCCTAACTAGATTGGCGTTAACGCCATGTGAAAAAATATATTATATGATGTCCCGTTCTAGAACCCTATGAATATATGAATTATGAATTGTAACGGTATGTACCACGCGTATTTGTGTCTCTGGAGATTTTTCATCTCTCATCGGCGGACCCGATTTGTGAAATCCACGTGATAAAATGGGCGTATGTAAATATTGAGACTTTCGGTTGGATTTAAAAATAAATAAAAAAAAAAAAAAATAAACCACACACACGCATCGCGTATACAGAAAAAGACGCACCAGCTTAATATATTGAACAAACTTTCGATATCGTTCAAAATAAATATGTGTTTAATTCAAGGGACGATATTGCCATACAAGGGTATTTCCACTATACGCTCTACAAATATATGTATATATATGTGCGTACCTAAGGCAGCCGCTGCCGCATTTCAGTCCACTTTTTTTCTTTCTTTTTTTTTTTTTTTTCTTCCATTCGTTCGCTCCTCCTCGTCAGACGCGCGCGCGCCTTATTTATGAAACGAGAAATTATAAAATCGGTAAAATACGCCGTTTTTAACAAAACCGACGTGGATCCGGAGTCCTCGAGTTACGGCGCTGACGACTGAATTTGAATTTTAGATTTCAAAGTTATTGCGGCGTATCCTCCTCTATTTTTTTTTTGTTTTTTTTCTTCATTTCAAATCTTTACTTTGAGTTTCGTGCGCTGAAGCTTTTAGGTGCTCATGCCGAACTTTTTTTTTTCCATTCCTAGTTGACCAGATTAGTTGTGAATTTAATGTATACTACTACTTGACGGAAAAGAGTACAGACGGAAATATTATACACCTCCATAGAGACAAATTAAATCTTTAATCCCTTGTTTTTGCAAATTTTCATCCAAAATGGCACAACTTCGTTTGAAACCCTCCGATAGGCATATGCGCCAAAATGGCCCATCGCAAAACCCTATCCATCTCGCCCCATCGCCACGTTGATTTTGCAGCGCATGCGTATATCATTTCGAATTTGTACACAATAGGCAACGCACGGTGGAAATCTCGCCAACATCCGCGGTAGCTCGCAATTTTATAACACGGGGGGAGTGCCCGATGAATTTTTCATAAGGCATATATATATACTCACAGCATAGCATATGCATATGCAAAAATCAGCGACTCATAAGGCACACACGAGGACAGGCTCTCGTACCACAAATTGCGGGTATGGCGAAGGAGTGACGAAGGACCTGGTCCTTCGTGTGTATATTTTACGCGGCAGGCCCCCGAGGCGCATAGAAGACGTATCGTACGTCCTCCTCGAGGAGTATAGCTACTCAATAACGTCTTGGGCCGGACGAGGTGCGTGTTTATTTGAGCTTTGATAGGAGACGGAGAAATAATGTGTTTTTAGTTAATTGGCCTGTGATTACTCTCATTGTAAAATTCAAGTGCGTCCAGGTATACACAATCAAAGCTTTTAATTGTAGTCGAATTTTGTGTTTTTTCGATTCGGCCAAGTCGACTGATGATTCGTTAAATCTGTGTAAAGCCAATTTTTTTACTCTACAAATTTTCCACGTTGGGTTTTCCCCGTTAAAAAATGCCAAATTTTTAGAACCAGATGGTGCACCGTACATTTAGTTGTTCTGAAAATTCTTGTCCACACACCTGCAATGCAACCGATAAAAAAAAAAAAAAAAAANTGTTTTTTTATACTTAGCGGTGTGTGGATTATATTTGAATACACGATACATAGGGTGTGGTGTACATGTATCCTTGGACCCTGTAAATCGTGAGAGTGTCAAAGTCGTCATAAAAAAAAAAAAAAAAAAAAAAGAGGAATTTTAAACTACACGCTTAACACACTTGTACTTTGAACACACACTTGAATTTACAGTGGCGTCAGAATAAACCATACCGTAGTTATTTATACTTCGTGTGGCAAAACTACCTTGGAATAGCAAATAAACTCGTGCAGTCCCTTAACATACAAGTATACGCGCGACCTCCCTATCTCGCGTAATTACATGTAGATCCTAAAGCTAAATTACCGACCTCCGTACAGGCGTTTAATAACCGTGTAACAAAGAGTTATCTTTTTCACGTCATGCATTACCACGGGATTTCCTTGTACCATACCCTGTGTGTACGTACACTTGTACGCTCTCTTAAATCACGTAAACGAAGCAAAGAGCAACAACAGTCCAATCTAAAAATTTTTATTTTTCCAACAACAACCAAACTCAGACAAGTACAGCAACAGAGTGGGTTATCCCCCACACGGAGCGAAATCCCGATTGCACTTTTCACGCTCTGTGCGCAAGGGAGAGTAAAAAAAAAAAAAAAAACAGCCACTCTTCCAACTGCGGCCTGCAGAGCGTAAAAAGAGAGTGCGTGCGACCTAAAGAGGGTGGGCTGCGGTCTAGATGCATCTGCGGTCGCGGGAGGAGGAGCCCGACGAATGTCAAGGACTCCGGGCGATTCGACGCGCACCGCTGACGGGCCAGCCGATCGTTCTCGGCGAGAATCGCACATGCAAGGGAGCCCGAGGATTTATACATGAGCGGACGCGAGGTGTGTGGCGGTGAATGTCGATTGTTTCTCTATTGGGACTAATTTAGCTTTTTTGTTTTGTTTTTTTTTTTCCTTCCATGTGAGCAGGCTATCAGAGGGCGATTGTTTGTTAATGAGATTTCGGTGCCTTTGGTGTACAAGACCAAACAATTGTTACTACATGTGGATCGAGCAGAGTCTAATTTAATCGGTAAGTACATTACCGATCTCGCGTCTACCTGTTGAAACGAAGGGGTCCGAAACTCCTTCCAAAAGTAAAACCAACTGGTGTGTAGTACTTTGTACGTATAGGTGTACGCGTGATTTTTGTTTCGTTTTTTTCTATTTCAACATACCTATGTAGCGTAAAAAAGTAAAATTTTAAAAATCACTCGGCGAAAGCGCTCAAGTCGCGAAATCTCCAACGTACAGCCGTCGACACCGAAACGAAGCTACAGGAGTGCGTGTAATCCGCCTGTAATTTTGTCAGGTGGACGGACAAACGGCTCGCAAGCGGAACAACGTCCTTTCGCACCATCGACACGCGTCACCTTTTCTTCTGCGCATGTATAACACGTGCACACTAATAACATAACGATCCTTGTTCCGGGAGCGACGAAGGGTGCAAGACAAGGATCTCTGTCCGAGGGAGATGTGTGTATAATTTTTCGAGAGCGAGATACCATCGTTGGCTCTTGTCGGGAAAAAAACGCGTCACGCCGATAAGATCGTTTCCTCGCGCGCTTGTATACTCGTTTAATCCGAGGGAGAAGGGAGGGGGGGTGAGAAGTGGTAAAAAGAGACTCACTTGAAAAAGTCGTTTCTGCAGAAGAGCTTGGCCTCCCTCGAGAAGCACTTGTCCTGCAGGGGATTTCGGCACTCGCAGCAGCGTACGCAGTCCGCGTGCCAGGCGCGGTCCAGCACGTTGAACAGAAACTTGTCCATGATCGGCTTGTCGCATCCCGCACATGACAGGAGCATCGCCAAGCCACACCTGCCTGCAACAGATGCCCAAGAGCTTGCGTTGTACGACACGTGTGTTTTACCTTTTTTTTTTTTTTTTTTTCCATGCGGCGTTTTTTTACAATCACGTCGAAATATATAGTCTTATGCAAGACTATTTCTGTTGTTTTTGTTTTAGCCGACAGTACGTGAAATGATTGGGAAAAAATGTACTCATCGTAAGGGAGAAAAGAATAAAAAGGTTAATAAAGACAATCACTGTTCAGAAAATTTTTTACTTTTCTGTGACGTATTTTTGACCATTTACGTACTTTCTGCTGACAGTAAAAAACAAATCAGATAAACTTTTTTTCTTTATTAGTTTTGGCCACGGTATAATTTATATAAAAGTAAAATTTTAGTTTATTACATAATAATATGTGTCGTCAATGACCTTGTAAAATGATTCAACTAATAATATTTTCAATGGGGTTTAAATTAAAATAAATAAATGCACACGGTTTTCACTGGATATCGATTGCAAGGATAAATTATTCATCGCCGCGTTTAAACACCAAAAGCAATGAATGCCACATGGCGTTACAAAAATATACATGTCAAACAATGAATAATGATGCTGGACAGAAAAATTGCGTGCGATTATATTCGCGTATCACGTTTTATCACCTCCGCGCATTTGTTAAGAATATTACGTATCTATTGTGCAATCAACAAACGCTTTAGTTTTTTTTTTTTCAATTCATTCAAGAGTCATTAGTTTTCAATTAATCAAACAAATTCAATAAGCACAGTAGCCATTTTTCTTAAAAACCACCATATCACCATTGTAAAATATATTGTTACGATCAATCACAATTAGATTCAACAATGATCAAAGCATCAAAAAAAGCACTTGCTCCATGATTAATTTACAAACTTGCATGTGGACAGAAGTAAGTGTTTGCGATCGTTTCAGAAAACTCCCAATGACAACAACTTTCCGGCAAAATGATTAACGCCTCGACAAGTCGCGCTTAACAAATTAAATTCGACCAACTTTTCCATCATGCACTACAGCAAAGATAAAAGAAACCTAAGCCCCTCCGCGAGAGAAAACAAAAAGCACTCAGCACCACTTAATATACGTATACCAGTGGTGTTGTTTTTTTTTTTTTTTTTTTTTCGCTCGCGATGCTCAACTTTACCTAAAAGAAGAAGAACAACAAAACCCTCCCCCACTCGCGAAACAATAAAAAGCTTCTTCTCATTGAACGAGAGAGAGAGAGAGAGGAATTTATTACCACAGCCAAACCCAAAGGGAAAAAAAGAAGAAGAAGAAACTTCCACGCTCGAGCGCGCTCTTGTCTCTCTCGCGAAAAATTGAAACAGAAAAAAAACAGAAAAACAACAACAACAAAAAAGGGGGGTGGGGTGGGAAAAAAGAAAGTTTTCCCGAAGGCTTATCGCCATCGCGCAGCCCTGGATGAATTTTTCGCCGCTTCCTTCGATGGGCGGAGCACGTCGCGGGCACATACATTCGCGCACATTGATCCGAGCACCCAAAGACAGGCCTGTCGAGCCACCCTCCCCTACGGCCCACCCCCACACGGCTACTACCCTTGACTTCGATCTCGCCCGCGGAGCGAACCCTCACTTTCTCTCCGGCGCGAGGAGCGTCTCCCCTTTCACCGGCCATTTGAATGGAGGAGCGAGCTTATGCCGGCTTGATGGACCGCTTGATTGAACTTGAACGGTTTTTTCAAGCTCCTTTTGCAACGGGAGGAGCTTTTTTTTTGTAGCAATTTTATGTGGCGTAGGGGGGTTGTCAGGCCTGAAGTTTTTCATGAGAACTACCAGAACCGCGAGAGAACATTTTTTTAGGATCAAGTGGAGTGCATTTGCATGGTTTTCTGTTACGTGTGGACGAGAATTGTAAGGAAAAGCGAAATTTTTCATTTCATTGCCTGTACCGATTTGTAAAATTACAACTTTGGTAGGGATTGTTCCTTGAAAACTTTTGCGTCACACTTTACGGTGGTCAACAATGGTATGTATTGTTGGATGTATTTGTTAAAAACTCGAGCTAATAAATTGTGGGTAGACCTTTGTTTTCACCCCGATTTCAACAAATAAACCGTACAACGTTCAAATTCTCCATTCGTCAACATTAATTGAGCCATCATCGTATGGGACATGTTTTTGCAAAACACAATGAGGAGCAAAATACACCGAGAACACGCGAGTACGCGTTTATACGTTGATTTAATACAATAGCTGCTATTGGCGCGTTTATTAATTCATGCTTTAATACTACACTGTAAGTACAAGTGCGTTGAAATGTACATCTTATACCTATACGTTGAAACGTATATGGTTGAAATGATTGATAAGAATTTTAAAAATAACCAAATTTATAGTAGTGCAATTATTATTTTAATATATCTTCTACTGACAATGAATACTTTTCAAACGAGAAAAAGTCAAAGAAGAAACGCTGTACAGGGTACAAGTCTGTGTCAACTATTTTGCCAACTGTAGTTTTTTTGTGTCAATTGTTATAGAAAAAAAAAAAAAAAAATTACTCGATTAGGTAGAGATGGTGAAACAGTTGACTAATGCGAAGGGTTTTATAATAACCACGAATTTAAACTACACACCATTTAAACATGTACTTTTACACACTTAGATTTTACGGTGTATGCAACTTGTGGTGTGTATCTGCTGCTTATATGGGTTTTGTTTATTTTTTAAGTAGAATTCCCGTATAATAAACAACCAAGCAGTCAATAAGCCGTAGAATTCAATGACAGATAAGTATAAATTTTCTGCACATAAATAGCTTTATTTATTCGTAAACCACATTGATTCAAGACGCAATTTTCGCTATAAAATGCACTGCAATAAACATAATTACAATAGTTGCCACTAAGAAAAAGGAATGCTCACTTAATTAGCACGAATTCTGGTTTTTCAATGAAGCATCGTAACAGTAAACATGAAAAAGGTATAGTCAGGAAATTTTACTCTCTTACGACAAAAACATGCTTTGATCATGCCTATTTTATCCTTTAAAAATTGAAGCAGTGTCTGATGCTTTGATCGTCCATTGTGATTATTCGATTGGTTTTGTAACTTCGTACATGTAGAAAGGATGAAGTGTAAAATCAACAAAAAAGTATCCATTCCCTACAAATAATACAGCCATGTTAAATTGTACAGAAGAATAAACAAAGCAAAATAAATATACTAGAAAAGTTTCTCAAATACGTACAGCAAAAATTACATCAAGCGGAGATACACAATAAAGGGAAAAAAGCGAGAAATTGACGTGTACTATCATACACATAAATAAAGGGTAATGTTACGAAGAAAAAAAAAAAAACAGAATCGATAATCTGGTTACTGGCTTACCTATACCTATGTTGTGTGCCTGGGTGACGGGCAGGGGGGCACAGCAAGACGACCCGAGGGCCGCGACCCTGATCCTGGGGGTGCCTTGCGCGAGCTGCCCCCCAGGGGCCCCGACCCCCCCGGGCCCCCCTTGGGCCCCGTAGGCCTCCACCTCCCCAACGACGGGCGCCGCCGCCGCCGCCGCCACCTGGTTTGCAGCGCCGACGCCAGCGCCTCCTCCTCCACCGCCGCCCCCGCAAGCAACCGCACCACCTACCCCCACCACAGCTGCTGTTACGGCTGCTGTCGCTAAAACTGCTGCCGCTGATGCTGCAGTCGCCGCTGACTCGGTGCCACAGGGTCCGGCCTCCGCCGCTGCTACCTCGGCAGCTGCAGACCCACCCGCGAAACGGCCGTACGCCCCCGTGGGCCCCAGCGCTAGCACCCACTTCTACTACTACGGCTATACTATACTGTACAGTTGCTACTATCGGCTTGCTTTTGATTTTGCCCTTTTTCCTTTCCTTATCGTTGCACTTGGCCTTTCGCACGGAGTCGTCTCTTTATGCTGGTCGCTATACCCCCCTGGCAATGCCACCGCTGCACCCCCAACTGCAAGCACCACCACCACAACAACCCCCACTACTACTACTACCACCACCACCACCACCACCACCAACGAGCTTGCAGTAAATTAGCCCACAATGATGATTACGTGCCAAAGTGTGAGCGACAACGATCATCGACACCGTGCATCGTCACCATCACCACCATCACCACCACCACCAACACCCCCACTGTCACGGCATCGGAAGCAGCTGTAACAACGACGGGTCCTTTGCTTCTTAATGAAAACTGTGACAATGAATCATCGACAGCGCCCAAAGTGTGCGTCAATGACATTGAGCTCGGCCGCGCCGATGAAATTAATTGTTTCGTTGTAAATGAATTATTTACGCACGCGAACTCACACTGACAAGCAAATCGTCGCCGTCGCGTTGCAGCCGACCGTTCCCGGCTGCCCCGGTCTTTCTCCTGCTGGTGCCACGTGACGCCACCCTCGACGCGGACCTCGTTTCCCTCTTTCTCCGTCCTTGTCCAATGCTCTTGTTCTCATCCGCGTTGTCGGAGTACCCGTCGCGACTCGGCTTCACCGCAGTCGGGGCGACGCTGGCCGTCGGACCGACCGGTCGCCGCCACCTGAACATTCGAGCCCCTGCGCCACGGCACCCTCGCTATTTTTTTTTCCCCCAATCTTGGCCGGGTCCCGCTGTACAACTCGCGGGTTGTCGGGGTAAAAAAAGCACAGCTCAGCTCGACAGCTTGCGAGCCACACGGTACGTAGCACTTCCAACTCGCCGGGCAAGGCTGTCACGTACAGCCTCAATTTGGCTTTTTTTTTTTTCCCCAACTCCAGTGATTTTTTTCTTCTTTGGGACACACTTGTGGCGGACGACCCAAAAGTTTTAACTGCGGCTAAGTGGGCTATCACCAAACGAAAACACCGTGAAAAAGAGTGTACGCGCGAGGGGTTGAAAATTCCATGCGGGCATCACACGCGCGGGCGTACCGTACGCTCGCAAGCTCGCCAGCCAACTGCCAAAGGGGCCCCCGCACCTGCGAGCGAACCGAGGCTGTGGGCTAGCGATACACCACGCAATCGTTCGTCTCCCCCCTCTCCTATTGCCCACCTTCTCTGTCTGTCGCGCAAGGCCAGTCAGCGCGCGGTGTTGCTCTCCCTCTTTTTCTGCCATCCCCTCCACTGTGGCCGTCGGTTTCAGCGCTTCCGATTGGTTGCTCGGGCGTGGGGTAGCACCCACTTTGGCAAGTGCAACCCCAAGTGCTGGACGCTGATTCGCTGGTTGCGGTGGTGGGGGGATGGGGCTCCTCCCACCGTGGAAGTCAGGCATGGCTGCCGCGGTGTGGGGTGTGCGAGGATAAGGGAGACGGAGAAGGCGAGCGGAGACGCGATGGGTAGTTACTCTCTGTGTGGAGAGTATGGAGGTGCCACGCGCGAGGTGGTTTAAGGGAAGCAGCTGGGGCTCAAGTTTCAGTAGTTCTCCCATCCAGTGACTTCTTTTTTATTTTTTTATTTTTTTACTTTTTTTTCAACATTAATACATTAGAGATGCAGGGGGTTATTTTAATGTTTGTCGATGGATGGCTGACAATAATTTTTATCCGACGAATGAGAGTTTTTTTTATATGTTGATAGGGTTCTGAGAGGTAAGATTTTAACGTTTAAGATACGTACAGGTTTTTGTTTGTATACCGAGATCCGTATCGTTTGATTACCGATGACAATTTTTTTTTCTTCTTAATCGTTCAAACGATGTTTACGCATATAATTTTGGATCTCTCGAATCTGTTTTAAAGAAAATCAGCCATCAAAATTTAGAATAATTACAAAGGAAAAGTGAAGCTTGATGGAAGCTTTTCTGGCATGAGTATTGTTTGTTCAAAATAAAAGCTCCCTGCGTCATTTGGTTAAAGACCTGGACTGTATACGTAACACCAATACTATCATTTATTAAGAGCCAACATAAGAGAAATGGAAACCAACAATGTGCATATTGGTATTTAATTTTACAGCGTACCCCATAAAAGTATTAAATTTGTTTATGTCTTTATTATGTCGATCATTTTGCGTGTTTATTATTAAATAAAAAATCAGAAGAAAAATAAAATTTTATTTGAAAAGCTCTCTCTTGCCGGTTAGTTTGAAAAGACTTTTGGGCTAACCCGACGATGTATAAATTTCCAATGAAAGTTAGTATTATGATGCTGTATCAATGTGAGATTATTGTTACTGTTTTCCGATGCAAAATTGTTAAAAAAAAGTTGCAAAATAACGTGTTGTACGAGAAAAAGGATTCAATTTTCGGATGAGTGAGGTAGAAAGGATGTATTCATGTACGCGGTTATTCGAGCGATAAAAGGGGGTCGAGTGGAGCTTTGATGTTGCTCTTTGGGGAAAATCTAGCGCTTTTATGAATTTAAGCGTTGCTTGATGAAACCGTGGGATTATATTTTTTGCGCATGCCTGAGTTTGGTATTTAATTTTTTGACTTGTTTAAATTTCTCGACTCGTGTTTTCACGTTTTCGATGAAAATAAAGTATCAAAGGAAATTAAAAGTTTACAAAAGGAAATGAGACTCAAGCAAAAACACGTGGCCGAGATCACTTTGTAAACTTAAAAAAAAAAATGGTCACTACACACCCTGTACATCATAAATTATTCTTTTTAAAAAAATTAACAATGTGCAGAATTTTTCAAATACATTTCATTACATTGTTTTTGCATTTATGTTTAAATTCCGTTTACACAATACATCACACAGTTAAACACGTATCAAGTATATATTTCATTTGCACTGCTGATAGAAAGATGTGTCTCCAAGGACTCACCAATACCCTCAATAAAAACCTGCGTCCACAAGTAACATCCAACAACGAAAGTCATCAAACTCGAGCAAAAATCATCCGGCATTTGAAAATAAAAAGTTTCCCGAGCCAACGCAGTGCCCGCAATCCCAAGCGACTGTTCAGCAAATCAAAAGCACTGGCTTCAACTTCATCCCTCGTCGTCGTGTGTAACGTCAGACTCCAAGGGACGCACGGGGGGAATCGATCTCCCACCCGGTGGCGGGAATTCCTCCACTCGAAAAGCTCGTGTACCTACCCTAGCTCTCCCTCTGTTTGCGCGAGATCCTTCGTACCATCCCTGGGGAATGAAAACAGCTCCATCCGTACGCGTGTGTATATATGTGTGTGTTACTACACGGTGTGCCCGAGCTTTTCCGAAAAGACTCGTCGCGCGTCGAATGAGCATTGGTGTGATGTGCATACGCAGTGTGTGCAAGGACACCAAGTTTTATGGCTTTTTTCACGAGCTACAGGTTTATGCCTGTGTCAACAGCCTTGATTTTTTTTTTTCCTTCACTTTTTCTACTTGCTATATGTGGTAGAAAACTCAAGAATAAATGTAAGCCGTTCTCGACTTTTATAACTATAGAAGTATATACTCCAATGGTACCGTGTGTCTTTTTTTTTTTTTTTAAATTGGATGATTTACAGGTAATTAGTCTTAAATTTTTAGATTTATCGTGGATTAATAAGATGTCGTTATTCTTTACTTCTTTATCTTGTTTTAAAACTTTCGAAAATCAAGAAAACCACCCCCCGTTCAGTATAGTTATTTAAGGGTACTCTACAATCTATACAAAAAAAAGAAATATATTTTGTAGAGAACTTAAGTACAAGGATCTATCGTTGTTGTATAATTTTATGGGGTAGGAGTGAAAAAATTTAAAGATAAGTAGGAGGGAAACAAAAAAGAAAAATGTGGAACGTTTTGGAGTTATGCGAATTAAAAAAAATATTGAAAAGGAAATTAAAGTAATATGTATTTTTTCAAAAATCATGATAAAAACTGGTAAAATATATTAAATATTTATGACTCGTGAAGAAATACGGTTGCACTCGAATAGGAAACGTATACGTCATGATTGAGTGTAAACTAATTTTATTTTTAAACCGAACTTAATTCAAGATTATAAAGGTAAAATTTATGGATAATATGATGTTGAATTTTCGATATTCAGTTGATAATGGCTTTGCGTATGCTACTAAAAATACCCTATTTTTTTTAAGCTTGTGCGATAACATGTGTCTGAGTCTAAGGCACATCGGAAATATTTTTCGGCTCAATGAGCTAGAAAGACTAGCTAATAATGCTTCGATGCGTAGATAGTCGATTGGTATACCTATGCAGGAGATGTTGATTTATCGCTCTCACACGAGTATATAATTTTTGATCTATAATACATATTATAGTAAAGCTATTTATTTTTTTCTAGTTTTTGACAATCAATGTATACTTTGTGAATTAAAAAAAAAAAAAAAAAATTGATGCTTCGTTGATAAATACTGATGTACTCCATACATGACATATATTTTTCTAATTAAAAGAAAAAAGTGTAACCACATAATAAAAAGTATATAAGTACAAAATCATTCGGTTTTTTTTACATATTATAAGAAAAAATGTACTAAGTAAGTATAGCATAAATGAACAGAAAAGTTACAGATTAAAAAAAAAAAGAAAAGAAAAAAAAAATGTTTTTGTATTAGTTATATATTTTATACAATGTTTTCATGAGAATGAAATGATCAACGAATAGTTTAATCACAAAATACGTCTTTTCATTATAAACCATGTATAAAAATCTTCAATAAATGAAAATTTAACATTTTATCACTATTTTTATTGTACAGTTTGCTATTTAACATGGTAATCGTGCCTTGCATGCGAAACGTTGTCTAATTAAGTTAGTTGTTTTAACATACATTTTTCCATAACATACATTATTCCATTTTCTATATACTATAGATTATTTTATGCATAGCTGTATAGAAATTGATGAATGACACGTTTTTATCGTACTTTGTTATATATAATATATTATGATTTGAATAAAAAATTTTTTTCCGTCTTTGGAAGTAACAACATTAGAATTGTTTTAATAAGGATCCCCTCATTCCCTATTTATACTTTGCAATAAAATGTTACATTAATTTAAAAAAGGAGTAAGAATCCAAGTTATTGACACCTTACCTTCTTCTTTTGATGTTTCGGACGATTTTCAAAGATTTTTCTCACAGCAGCGACGTTGCACAATGAGCTGTCAAGAAAATACACATGTCGTTTATTCGTCTCTGTCTCTCTGCGCTCTCATGACTGACGTTTTACTAGATTGTAAAAAATTTTCTTTCCATGCACATGGTGAGCGAAAAAATTTTTTCAATCTCGAGCGTTGTTTAACTGTTCTCTGGTTTATTTTTTTCTCACAAGCAAGAGTAATAATATGATTTCACATATGATATGAAGAAAATGAATTGTTTGCAACGTTACTTTTTATCCATTATACAGAGACGAAAGTAAAATTCCTTCAAGAAATTCTGAGAGTAAGAATCACGCTGGTATTAATTTTTCATTGCAATACATAAATATAATATATATATTTTTTTTATTAACAACACTTTTTAAGTGATTGCTCAGATAAATTGTTATTTATATCTCTACGAACCAATGGATGCAATGGAATATTTTTCTCAATAACTCGTTTATTAGATGACAAAAAAAATAGTTCAATGCATGATCATACTGTGAAATGAAAAATGATAACATATCAAATAGGATTTTAAAAATGATTTATTGAAGTTATGAATAATTGAAAAATAAAAACAATTATTTCTAGCTATACATGCGTAAGGATAAAGATTTATAGATTCGAAGGTCTGAATGTTTTTAAAATAATCGAATCATTATTTGTATAATATCAGTGAGTATTGCTTGGATTTACTACTATTTGTTAATTATACAAAAATTAAATAATTAAAGTATTAACTCTCAATATTAACTAAAGTAATAAATTACATGTTGTAAATAATAGCTCTAACTGTATCATATTCTACTTCTACCTATGTAATACCATCTCAGACGAAAATTTTTTTTACTTTAGATTTGAATGCCAAAAGATAAAATAATGATAATAGTTAAATAAATATTTACACGTACAGTTCTTGATGTATAATTAATTTTTATCCCAACTATATTTAAATGCACTTGCTTTTTACATCCAACTGTATCTGTTCAGGAAACAAATGAATCGAACGTTAAATGATTCGATTTTTTTCACATCGTAAACTCATTTTATATTAATTACTGCTTACTTGTAAATAATTTTTTTTTTAAATAGCACTCAATCTCTGAAGGAAAAGTTTACTTTCCATGTTTTTATTGTTTCATTAAAATATTTTTCTGTGATATATTGATTGTTGCAAAAATAAATGTAGCTTTACTATAATTTTACTAAATTAAAAACACTATTGTAAAAGAACTTTTAATACAGCATTTTATGTACTTAACGAGAGATTTAGTCAAAAAATAAAAATACAAACAAATTGTTTAGAATTTATAATAAAAAGTACTTAAAAAAAATATACATTTAACATACCAAAAAATAAATAATCAAGTAAAGTATTTACTTTTAACTCTGATTTCATTGTAACGTTAAATTTTGGTTTCAATTTATTGATTACATAAAATAATTCATTTATGTAAATATGAAAACAATAGGGATTTTTAGTAACGAACTTTTATAAAAATAGTTAACGATATATATTTATTTATTTATGCATAATACTTTCATTGAACACTTAAAGAGGCAAATTTCATTATTTTAATACATATATCTACAAGTTTAGAGTGCTAGGCACTAAAGTAGTAGCTTAAACTTTTAATACTTTATTTTCCTTCGAAATTTTTATAAATGATACAAAATATGGAATGCAAAAAACTTAAAAAAAAGACTCAACTTTGGTTTTTTGTTTATGCTCCAGGCATGGTCTAATAAATTTAATAAATTTAACAAATTTTATACGCCATTCCTTATGTATTTTTTCAAAAATCATGATAAAAACTGGTAAAATATATTAAATATTTATGACTCGTGAAGAAATACGGTTGCACTCGAATAGGAAACGTATACGTCATGATTGAGTGTAAACTAATTTTATTTTTAAACCGAACTTAATTCAAGATTATAAAGGTAAAATTTATGGATAATATGATGTTGAATTTTCGATATTCAGTTGATAATGGCTTTGCGTATGCTACTAAAAATACCCTATTTTTTTTAAGCTTGTGCGATAACATGTGTCTGAGTCTAAGGCACATCGGAAATATTTTTCGGCTCAATGAGCTAGAAAGACTAGCTAATAATGCTTCGATGCGTAGATAGTCGATTGGTATACCTATGCAGGAGATGTTGATTTATCGCTCTCACACGAGTATATAATTTTTGATCTATAATACATATTATAGTAAAGCTATTTATTTTTTTCTAGTTTTTGACAATCAATGTANATTATTACATAAAATTGCGTGCACAATAAAATTTAAAACATGTATATAAAAATATATTTTAATAATCTTTAACATTCATGATTGGGAAAATTTTCAAAAAGTTTTACATCACACTGTGCCAATCATTGGTATAAATAGTATTGTCTCACAACTGTCAGGTGCATAGCTGACAATTACGTCAAAATATGGCAAAGTATTAAAAGTTCATTGTACACACGATTACATTGTAAATAGAGAATCATCAATCCCATCCTCATGTAACTTTTCTCAGTACTTTAAACCTTCAATTACAATAATCTAAAGGCTTTTTTTGCTATAGAGAGTTTCTACAATTTCGTACAATACGTGATACTTTGAATTCCTAAGACTTCAGTGGCTTGTAGCCGGTCCACTCTCTAAAAGTAGCATTCATAGAATTCTCAACTAACAAATCTATAGGGTGAATTATCACAGGTATGGATGCCAGACCTATCACAGTTGAAATCCAAGGACTCCGTAGCATTGGTTTTACAGACTTGTTTTGTGCGAAGCGAACAGCCGCACAGAGCCTGTTTATTGTCAAACCTGGTATTATGACCGATGCAAATCCCTGCCACAGGAGTGTGTCCGCTGTCGAGAGACATATGCGTTTTGTCCTGTTTGGTGAGGTGTCAACCTAAAATTGGTATAATAAATAAAGAAATTAATACATTGATTTTGATTGGTGAACATTTAAGACATACTTTGTAGGCAAGCAGTCCTTTGTCGAATGTGTCTGCAAGCACATATCCACAGGCAACCACGTAGCTGCCCCACACAATGGATTTTGGGACAATACTTCTGAATGCCTCTCCAACTTCATTGGTGTAACCTACAAGCGGAGATAAAAATTATACAGGATGAAGAGCTATTGTGTTTTTACATGTACTGTTGATGATTTTATGTGCACTTAAACCAATATTATAATTTTAGCAAAACGAAAAAAAAGGACTATTGAATTAAGTGAGGTGATTTAATGAATATGAATTACCTAAATATCTGATGTAGGTATCACGAAAAATATCAACCTCGGCCTTGTTATCGTTTTCAACCATGCCAACGTCCTGATGTTAGACAGCAATACGTGTTAGTCCCAAAAACAATAAATACACTTTTCAAACTCCAAAGAGTGGTATGATACAGTGTTTCAACTCGTCTTTGTGATTCACGATGTTGTCGTTCGTTTATTTTTAGAGCTGACAAACTGTCATAAATTGGAAAAATCGATTATCTCTACTTTAAGTACAGGTTTTACCCACAATTAACTTTAAGCACTAACAAAATCACATACTAAGATCCAGTAGGTGATCAATAATAAAAAATGAACTTTATTGGCGCGCGACTGCTGACAGTGTACTGACGACGTGACCACAAGACCATGTATTAAAAAATGCATGATGATGGACTCAATGGTAAATTTGTGTTGGTTTATTGTTGTGTTTGTTTTTTTAAAGATTATTTTGTCAAAAAAAAGCGTTTCATTGGCACTACAAAGTGTAATAGACTCTCCATTGCAAATTTGTACTTTATTTCAAAATAATGTATAATTAGTTTTAAAACAAAAGTAGATTAATATCAATTAAGTTGAACTTTGCTCATAAAACTGATGAAACACATTTCATTATAAAATTCTATAAAAATATGTACAACACAATTTACAAAATGTGAGGCCATTAGACATAATATATTATACATGTTATCTTAACATTGATTCATGACATGTCACGAGAATAGTGACAGTTGGTATATAACAATCCTGCCAAAGAAATCAGTGCTGGTTTCAAAAACTATTTTAAACACTTTGGACTTCACTGGTGAACTTAATTTAAACTCCTGGATAGAATTTATATCTTCTGGATATATATTTTCAACATGGCCCAAATCTTTGGTATCTGGACCAGCTTCCAGATAACACTTTAGACCAGCAAAACCACCTTGGAATTGAATTTGTACGAGAGACAAACAAACTTCTTCTGGGAAACTTACTAGAACCCATTGTGGACTTCCCTGTTGATGTACTTTTTTATTAGGTATTATCATAATTAAAAGTATTAAAATGTAACAGATGATGTAAATGTCTTTAAAAAAAAGGAAAAATAAATCCTTCACTTACAGAATCAGAGTTCCAACAGGTTTCACAGTCACTGTCAAACATAAACTGCTTTCCATAGCTTTTAACGTTTTTATTTAAAACAGAGCTAACTCTAAAAGTACAGGTAATGAATATTACCAAGTTGTTAATTCATTTTTTAGTAATTTATTAAATAAAAGCAAATTTAATAGAAAAATATTTTCTTGTCTTGTC